CATGAGACCTTTGACCTCAGAAAAAAAGAACCTCTCCACAAACAGCAACACCAACTTCACACATTACTAACCAGTTAAACTTTATTTCTGGAGTATCTAAAACAGAAGTTCTTTATTGAATTAAAGGTTTAGATGGTTTTTTTTACTTTCATTTGAAGTTTAAAAAAAAAAGTTTCTCTTTGGCTGTTACAATAGTGTTTGTAAAGCACATATGTGATGCCAGGGAACTTATGGTTAAATAATTTCATGCGTCTGAGTGTTGGGTTGCATTTGATCAAAATCTGTAGTTTTTTTAATGAGTTTTATGTTATTGCAGTTCTACGATACAACGTGACAATGTGAGAAAATGGTATAAACCACTTTCAGAATTATGGGTTATAAAAAGGTTTCAATCCTGTCACTCATAGACATGAAGAATCAGCATGTGAATCTCAGCAATGGTGACAAAATATTCTGATAATTTTGATATGATTTTTGTAAAAATAGGTGCTAAACAGCACTAAAAGTGGGTCTCCTATGATTACAAGCCAAAGAACCGCTTTTAGTGCTATATAGCACCATTTTTTTTTAGTGTATTAGATTTTCACTGACAGACCAAATTTAGCCTCGTTTTAGCCTAGACGTCCAGGCTATATTTAGACGTCTAATAGACGTCTTTTACATGCAAAATTGCTTGCTGGGTTATGAGCATTTGACCGTTTCCTTTGAGTAAAACTATCCTTTTACAGAACCAAAGAAATGTAAAGGTATTCAAGGCAATCCGTCAAAATAAAAGTTCGGTTTACCTTGAAGTCATTGTGGCAGAAATAGCCTAGATTACTATTGTTCAGTAGAATGTGTGTAATAGGCTATAATTAATTATTGTAATGATTAAAACCTTTTTTAAGGGCTAATCATACAATATTTCTTCAATGTTTTTAATTGTAATTTTAAATCCCCTTTATTTAAAAAAAGTTTAATTTTCATTAATTAAAATATAAATTAAATGAATGTTTTATGCCTTAAAAATTGTAAATACACAACACAGAATTTCTGAGGGAAAAATCATAGGGCTATTGTAAGAATAAATTAAACTTGCTTTTATGCTTTCAAATAATTATACATGCTAAAACAGAATTTGGTTACAATAAAACATAAGGTTGAAAAAAACAAAACATTTCATAGGGCCCTAAACATTTAATTTTTGTTAAACTTTTAATAAATTGATGTTAAATTGCTTAAGTTTCATGATTTTAATTAATTAGACGTGCTTTTTGCTTAATACAATTTAATTTAACCATTAAAAATGAGATCTAGATAGATAGATAGATAGAAATGATTATTAGTAAAAAATTTAAGGAAAAAGAAAAAAGTTAATGTTTTCATTCTTTTTGACTCACGCCCCTCCCTCCCTTCTGAAAAAAAGCAATAGAAACCATCACAGAATTTGTAATGGTTTTACCGGTTATAATGGGACGTGTATTGGTTTTAATGGAAACTATAATGGTCCCTGTGGGTTTCTACTGGTAATTGGTCACCTTCTATTGGCGTCTTGTTAAAACCAATAAATGTGCCAAAACACACGAAAACCTTTTTATTTTTATTATTTTTTTTTTTAATGGTTTTAATTTTTCAATGTTTCTTCTTTCAGCAGGGCTGGGAATTGCCATTGCCCAAATGTTCTAACTGAGTTATGCGGTGCAATGCTGTGTCAAGTGTGATTTGTTGGTGATATCTGTCAAAGAGCAGATGGTGTTCATATTTTTTTAAAACATCACTTACAATGCTTTAATTTGTCACTGATTTCCTGGGTACTCTTGGCTAGTTGTCTATAGGATGTTTATGTTAAGTTAAATATCCAGAGTCAATACACCGATGAAGCCCGGAGCAGTAGAATTCCTGCCTTGTTTGGATTTCCCTGCAAACGTCAGTTTGAAAAGAGAAAGCGCAGCTGCTTCGCTCCGCCCCGCCCCGTGACTGGGGCGAAGCAAAGAGCGTTTGTCCCGTTACATCAGTGCGCCCAGAGGCTTAAACCCAGAGAAACTAGAATGCTTGAAAGACAAGGGGGAAAAGTTCCGTTTCCTCCCGTCAAATTGTGAGGAAAATGGCGAGTCTGTAGGAGACTAAAGCGACTGAATAAGGAGAAGGGTTATGTGAATGGAGTATATCTTTGTAGTGAGGTGAGGAAACATTCTGTCTTCAGTGGAGTATGGCACAACGCGAGCCTTCGTTGCATGGAAAAGGAAGCGTCAACTTTATAGACGTTTCAGCGTGACGCGTTTTCACTTCAGTAATGTGGATTGTACGCGCCCTGGGCAGCTACCGAAAAAGCGGTCTTCATCGAGCAAGACAGAAGGGACCAGCGAGCTTCAATATCATCATTTGGATGAGTTTAACCGATGCATATTCTGATCGATACATCTGAAATATGTTTACCTCACGTATAACGGGACAACACTCACCTTCGGGTCGCGCAACGTGTACGCGAACGCACTTTGCAGATGTTAGATAATCACAGTCGTTAGTCATTTGACTCCAGCATGCACATGTCTGTTTGAGGGATTGTTGTGTATGAGTGATTTGCTGTACTGACTGCGCGATGGCCCTCAGGTCCAGAAGACCATTGGTGAGCGTCATCGTGGGTTTTTTTCTTGGCTTCACAGCCGCATCGTGGCTGGTTGTGCCCAGAGTTGTGGAGATCAGTGTGAAGAACAGAAGGTCTTCAGTGTGTACATACTACAGTAGCGGCAGGGCTCAGGCTAAAGTTTCAGACACCGCCCACAGTACCTCATCTACAATTGGCAGACACAAGCATCTGCAGCCACTCTTCTCCAGCCAGGAAGGCAGTGATGAAGGTGAAGAGGATCTTTATAGGACAGGGAACAGTACTGATGGAACTGGTCCTGTACCTCCAGCTAGCTTTTTGTATGTGGGGGTCATGACAGCTCAGAAGTATTTGGCCTCCAGGGCTGTGGCTGCCTACAGGACATGGACCCCCAACATCCCTGGGCGGGTGGAGTTCTTCTCCAGTGAGGGCTCTGAGAAGGTGCCCCTGCCAATTCCAATGCCCGTCATCCCGCTGACAGGAGTGGATGATTCATACCCTCCGCAGAAGAAATCTTTCATGATGCTGAAGTACATGCATGACCATTATTTGGATAAATACGAGTGGTTTATGAGGGCTGATGACGATGTCTACATTAGAGGTGAATAATAGGGGTATGATTAAAAAGGGGACCTTGTTGAAACATTTTGATGAATAGAGCTTGAAAAATATTTCTACGACCAACAGCCTTTGAAATTTTGGCAATAAGTTAAACGGCCTTTTCCTGGAAAATTAGAGAAAGTACAAAGTTTTGGAAGCCTGTTGTAGGACCATCGAGTTTTTTTGCTTTGTCAATTTGCGTTTGCATTGTGCATGTTATTTTCTTGACAGTTGAGCTTCCACCAATTACTTATTACTGTAATGCATCCAGACATTTTACTCTAAACACTTAATTTAAATAACTATTTTTATATATTAGTGTAATGACCCTAGTAAATAAAATAAAAAAACCTATGCCATAATTGATTCAAAATACATTTATATTTCAAAAAGTATATTTCAAATCTATTAACATATGTATTGACATATCATTTTATTTGGAGTATTTCTTAATTGCATAATGCACATTTCTTAATATTATGCTTAAAATGTGTTTTAATATCACTATTAATAAGGATTGTATGATCTCTGTATAATATGAGTCTTTAAATGCAAGTGCACCTGAAGTATACTTGCAATAGTTCCAATTTAGCATAATCAAATATAGTTATATAGTTGGACTTTAGTACTACTTTAGCACTATTAAAGTGCATTAAGCACAAGTTTAGCTGTTCCAATCTAGCAGACTTTAAGTATACCAGTTTAGTGTACCAAAAACTACAATTGCAGGCTATTTTTATTAAGCACGTAAATATGTAACTGTATTTGTAGTATAAATAACTGTATTTCAAATATGTTTTAGTATTTTTGTTCACTAGGGCAGAATTGGAGGGTAAATAAAAATAACTTGTCTGTCAGCACAAATACATTGGTCAGTCAACAAATTTGGTGTCAGTCCTTTCCCCCCCCCATCAAAACGGTTTTGCACAAAGATATGAATAGTACTTTTGAAGAATAGATTTCATGCAAAAAATACATGATAAATCAGTGTCAGTAGCAAATAATTTTACATGGAGCAGGTGAGGTAACCTAATGTACTACCTATATTGTATATTTCATTTTATGAAAAATGTTACATGAAAAAGTACATTATTAAATGTCAATATAATATGTGTAAGCACATTAGTCATCAATTACTCACCATGCAGAATTGATATAAATGGCAAAGAATTGTTTGATGTTCTGTTTCTCTTAATCTCATTGTTTTCTCTAATCAATCTGCCTCCTGTAGGTGAGAAGTTGGAATTGTTTCTTCGCTCTCTCAACAGCAGTAAACCACTGTATCTGGGTCAGACAGGTCTTGGTACCACAGAGGAGCTAGGTAAACTGGCCCTGGAGCCTGGAGAGAACTTCTGTATGGGTGGTCCAGGGATGATCTTCAGCCGAGAAGTTCTCCGCAGGATGGTGCCACACATCGGGTCCTGTCTTAGAGAGATGTATACTACTCATGAAGATGTGGAGATAGGACGCTGCATCAGGCGTTTTGGAGGGACCCAATGTGTCTGGTCATACGAGGTAATGCATAACATCCTCCTGTGGCATTTGGGTTGAATGGGTTGAAGTGCACACTCTTAGAGTCTGTAGTGTTCAGGTTTGTCTTAACCTCTTATTATATTTGCTGTTTTGCTTCAAATTAAAAGAACATTATTGCATTATATTTCTTGCACCATTACATTTTAGGCACAAATATGTGCTGGTCAGGATCATATTTGTTGTTACATGCACCATTGTAATGTGACTAGATGTCTTTTCTAAATCAGTTGTCAGATTATTGTCTTCCATCTGTCGTTTTAGCCGACACTGCATGTACACATAGTGCTGTACTGATGGAATAGTTGTGCCTTTCTGTAATTTTGGTGGTTTGCCATGGGACAAAGACTTTTTTAACATGCTATGTGTAAGTTTTTTGGACTGTACGAAAGCATAAAAAACATAACGTTTGTAGATATTTTGGAAACATGCTAAATTAACATATTTGTTTCTCAGAAAAACAATGCTACAGCTGCCATTCTACTTTGAAATATGCCTTTCGTTTTATTTTGGTCTGTGATTTATGGGATCATATTCCTGCCAAATGTATTGCATTCACGGATAAAAAAATAACAAGCGTGAAACCAAAATTTAAAAACGCATGTAAAATTATATTGCACAAAATTTAAAAATGAAAGCAAAGTTTTCAGAATAGCAAACAATGGTCACGGATCAAAAAATAATGTGTAAATCAAAAATGTAATAACGCATAAAAAAAAAAAAAAAGCACGAATCAAAACTTTAAACACATTTAAAATCATATTGCACAACACTGAAATATTAATGCAAAATTATCCGAATTACACACAAAATCATGTTTTCCTTGGTTATATTTCTCAGTTTTTTGTGCTCTCAGACATTTTCTGCACATATTTTTATTTTTTGTATGCTTATGTTTTTACCTTTGCTCTTTATTCCACGTTCTGCACTTCTTCTTCCAAATGTTGTGGTTAGAGTTTCATGTAAATCAGGGTGTTGATGTAAAACATCATCATTGGTCCACTAGTTCTAGATTGACAGCTCCTCCTCAGCCAATCAGATGAAGAGGGGCGATGACGCCACTCCAACGCGCCTTATTACTGTCGATGCTCCGTTTTCTGTTCACTTGTACAGGTGAAAATGGACAACTGTCGGCTGGGAAACATCTTTCCATACAGGAAACTGTTATACGTGTCTGTCTGTCACTGCTGTACGCCTGCCTGGCGATCCGTTAACATTAAATGAGTAAATCGGTAAATACATTTTTAATTAATGTAATGTTTTTGCATTGAAAATGATAGTGCTACAGAGTAGACAGTTACAGAGGCCAGGTGGATTTGATGTACACAATGATTTATTGTGTTGTGTTTATTTGCATAGCTACATATATAATTGCCTAACACTATCATATTAATGTTTCAAATAAATAAAGTTATACATACCAACAATATGAACGTAAAACAGCCAGTAGGTGGCGGTAAGTCTTTAGAATAAGACATTAAATCATTCATTCAAATGGCTGATTCATTCAGTGAGGAATAAAGTGAATCAATCAATAGGAAAGGCTGCTGTGTTGCTTGTAGAGGACACTGTTCTGCTGTGGCTTTGTTTGGACTCTTTGTCGAAATAGAGCAAAATGAGAAAATAGTTACTATTAATAGTAAACTCACTCAAAATATACTTCTTGTTATATTGATTCAGTTCAATAAATATTTGCAATGGTCCTGATATTAGGAAAAACACTCACTCTGTATGTCATAAAATAAATTATAGTGCCATTCTTTACAAACAACATTTATTTTAAATGCTAAGCCTATAACTCATTAAAACTAAACTAAAAACTGAACCTCCTGCTGGGCTGTCATACCTCTCATTTCCATGAGTGAATCATTAGACGCGGTGTTACATTTGGTTGATAAACTATTAGCCTATTTATTTTGTAAAGAAGGCTTTGTACTTTTCTCGTATCTGAATATCTACTTAAACAACATCCTTCACATATGCAATAAATTTGTTTGGAATACACCACGGCATGGCGATGGTTTCTGTGAACCTCTTCCTGAAATGAAGAAAAACTCTGCGATACTGTCTAACGTTATACTTGTCACACAGAATGAGAAATATATTTAGAGAAACCCTGAAGTGCCTGCTTTTACCTGTTTACGTTTTGCTTATTTGACATTAAATGTATTATATAAGTCACTTTGGAATATGAATCATAGCACGTTCAGAAGATAAAAAATGCAACGTCTAGTCCGGAAAATACAGAATAGCTAAATGTTTTGCGGGACCCCCTGGCTTTGGGTCACGACATGGACCCTAGTTTGAAAACCCAAGCTCTTACTCATATTATCCTCTCCTAACAGTAATAACCATAACAAGACTTATAATCAGTCAGGTAAAGGCGAGCCAGGCACATCAGCCACTTCGCGAGGCCGGTGCATTTAGTGGCTGATCCCTTTCCCAATGTGACCGGAGGCGAATAAATACAGGTGAATATAACCACGACAGGTCGCTAGAATGGCTCATTTAATGTTAACGGATCGCCAGGCAGGCGTACAGCAGTGACAGACAGACACGTATAACAGTGTCCTGTATGGAAAGATGTTTCCCAGCCGACAGTTGTCCATTTTCACCTGTTCAAGTGAACAGAACACGGAGCATCGACAGTAATGAGTTGGAGTGACGTCACCGCCCCTCTTCATCTGATTGGTTGAGGAGGAGCTGTCAATCTAGAACTAGTGGATTAATGATGATGTTTTAGCCCTCCCTGATTTACATGAAACTCTAACCGCAAAATTTGGAAGAAGAAGCGCAGAACGTGGAATAAAGAGCAAAGGGAAAAACAGCATAAGCATACAAAAAATAAAAATATGTGCAGAAAATGTCTGAGAGCACAAAAAACAGAGAAATATAACCAAGGAAAACATGATTTTTGTGTGCAATGTGGATAATTTTGCATTAATATTTCAGTTTTGTGCGATATGATTTTAAATGTTTAAAGTTTTGATTCTTACTTATTTTTTTAAATGCGTTATTACATTTTTGATTGACACTTATAATTTTTTGATCCGTGACCATTGTTTGCTATTCTGAAAACTTTGCTTTCATTTTTTAATTTTGTGCAATATAATTTTACTTGCGTTTTTAAATTTTGGTTTCACGCTTGTTATTTTTTTTTATCCTCGACTGCAATACATTTGGCGGGAAAATGATCCCATAGTGATTTGGCCCACTGCCAATTTACCCAATACTAGTTTGACCGTTGGGTTGCCAGTTGGTGGAAAACACAGCGTATTGCGGCTATGGAAGCCAGCAAATCAACAGGTGTGTCTGAGCAAGTGATGTCACTCTGACTGCACAACCATGGCTTTGAAGCTATCACATGACTAGCTAAGAGCAAAGCATTGTGACAGATTTGTAATCTACATTCGCTTTTTTTGTTGTTGTTGTTAAATCATCCTCAAATTTGAAACATAATTTCTTTACACCTATTTACACTTGTGGCATTGTATTTATAGGTGTCATAGGCACATTTATTATTATTGTTTTTAATGATAAAAAGATGTTATTCAAAAATCCATTCCACAATACTTCTGTTTCTGTAACTTTCATATTTTTTATTTGTAAATATTCTGAAAACTTTGTAAATAAAGCTCCAAGCGTCTTTTCAAAAGATGCCACAATTGTGCACATATTCCAAAAGATAAGTAAAAGACTGCCATTTGAGCTGAGGTATGAAATTTCATGATTTGAGCTCAAAACAGGGGTGCAATTTTACTGTAGGTGGATCATTCTAACTAGCAGATAGCTTGGCAAGCCCCTTACTGCCCTAGTAAAAAAGTAATATTTAAAATAAATATTTCATACTAAGTATAGTTCAAATCTATTAACATATTTACTGACAGATAAAAGGAGGGGGGGTCACGATGCCGGCTCAACATCGTGATGTCTATCAGCCATTGGCGATGGACGATGACATTGTCTATCGACCCAACCTTATTTACTTGGAATATTACTTGTGCACAATGCACTTTTCTTAATATAAAACTAAAATGTGTTTTAATAATGTTACATTTTTATGAGGATTGTATGATCTCTGAATAATATCAGACTTTAAATGCAAAATATTTTTAATGCGCATTGCCAGCTGCTCATCAGGAAATTGGCTCTGTGCTGGTTGCTAGTATATGAAGCAAATCACTGCAAATTGTAAATTATGTTATTTCACAATTTTATATTTTTGTTTATATCGTCACAAAATGTAAACTATATTATTGCAGTTGGACCCATGCAGGCTCTGAGCACAGGGTTTGCACTTTATACAGATACAGAGAGATCATCAATCACTTTTCCATTGCGCTGCAACCAGTAAGATTCACGCTTTTGGCCACATGCCTGGAGCCACTACTGTATCTTGCTGTAGGCTGGTACTGATATAAGGCTTGATGATCACAGCAGCATTGGTGCGTAAGGGGTCGCTATATCCTGATGGATCCCTCTGAGTGATTGTTTATCATGCAGCTCAGGACAGGAACTGACACAGCATTATTATGTCACTGATTCATTGAGTTGCAGTTAAACGTATTCAGCACCTCTGAGACACAAACACTGACACACAGCACAAAGTCGCATCATTACTTAAGTACTCTACTGTTACCAGATACATTGGTATATAATGATTAAAATATTCATGTGACATATTTATGCATGAATGCTTTTCATGAAGTGCAGATAGATTTTGTTTAAAAATAAATAAAATTAAAGTAATTCTGATGCCACTGTATGATCGATCATAGGCTCTGGCTAAGAGAGTGAGATGTGTTTGTGCCCCATAATGCTTCAATGCAGAATTCCTCCCTGAAGACCTTCACTCCAGAGGCCTGATGTTGTGTGGGTTGAACTGTACCCACAAAATGTTTACACTGAGCAAAACAAATATGAATATTTAGAGTAAAAACTGATACATGGGATTGAGTTTCTCACATTTTTGAGAAATCTGTTTA